ACAGTTGATGGTGGAATACTTCATCTGAAAGAACTTTTAAATATTTTAGTCAATTGGAAGAAAAGATTTGTAGTTGAGTATATCATTGACGAACATTTGATAGTGGAATACTTCATCCTAAAGAACTTTTAAATATTTTGTTCAATTGGAGGGAAAGATTTGTAGTTGAGTATACCATTGACGAACAGTTAATGGTGGAATATTTCATCTTAAAGAACTATTGAAATATTTTGTTGAATTTGAAGAAAAGATTTGTAGTTGATTGTATCATCGAGGAAGACTCGATGAAGGAATTTTTCATAGAAAACAATTATTCAAATATTTCTTTCGATTTGAAGGTAATATTTGTAGTTGATTTTATCATCGAAGAACACTCGTTCAAAGAATTTTTGAAAAAAAACGACTGTTCAAATATGTTTTTCACCTCGAAGTAGACATTTATAGTTGATTATATCATCAAGGGAGACTCTATGGAGGAATAATTTATATTAAACAACGTTTGAAATATTTTGTTCAAATCAGAGGAAAGTTTTTTAATTGTTTATATCATCCGGGAACACTCGATGAAGGAATTAATCATATGCAAGATTTATTCAAATGTTTTCTCTAATTCTAAGAAAAGATTTATAGGTGATTATATCATCGAAGAATAGTGGACCGATGAATACTTGATTGCAAAGAAGTGTTGAAATATTTTATTCAATTCGAAGGAAACATTTGTAGTTGATTATGCCTCGGCAAGAGCGCATGATCAACGAATATTTCAGATATGAAGTATTTGTTGATGTTGCTTTCCTCGGTGATATAGTGAACTTCAAATGTTTCCTGCGAGTTGAACAAAGTATTTGAAGAATTGTATTACGGAGTACTACTTATTCCTCGAGCAAATGTTCCAGGATGATAGAGTCAGGTTGATATATTTGTTTTGAATTGAATAAAGTATTTGAATCGATATTTACTATGAATTGTCTGTTAATCGAGTGTTTCTCTATGATAGAATCACTTTTAAATCTTTGTTTTGAATTGAAGAGAATATTTGAATAATTATTTTAAAAGAAAAATTATTTCTTGGTCGAGTTTTGCTCGAGGATATAATGAACTGAAAATAGTTGTCTTGTGTTGAATAAAGTATTTGAATATCTGTTTTGTTTATTATTATTTGTTTATCTTTTGTGTACTTCTATAGGTAAAGAGTCATCTGTAATTATTCATGAAGAACGTTCTATAGGGGTAAGAAATAAAATCTATGTATACATATATGAAAGGGCACATTTTGAGTCAGAAATATGCGTAATTAGAAATTGGAGATTTCTGAATGCTTTGGACTAGAAAAGAAAAGTAAGATTTCATTAGAAGTTTAGTTACCCTGCGTTTCTAATGAGTACAATAAATTTAGTGAGCGCGTAACAGTGATTAGATTAGTCCGTATGACTCAGTAATGCAGTCATCTTACCGACGCTTGGCCAAACTAAGCGAAACAAATTAACAGTCTTCATTGAATAATAACGTCGTTATCATTCTGCATCAATTCTTTGGAAATTTCGATCTAATCATCTTCAAAAGTTTCTATCAAACGCATCAGTGAAGTATTTTTTGAAACACGAATGGATTTTTTAAGGAATAAAATGTTTAAGGTTCACGATCCTCAATTATTCGGAAGAAATGCAAGAAGAATATGAATGTTTTGTGTTTCTGCACTACGTGTCTTCGTTTGAAATTGATAAATCGAATAACTCAAAATATTCTCGATCTTATGCAAGAGTTTCAATTATACTGAATGCACAACATTGATCGATTAAATGATTAGCAATAAAAGGAAGGCAACTTGAAAATTCCCAATAGACGTATTACATGGGGTTTCGACCACGAAAATACATGACTCCTCCCTAGTCTCAGTCCTGCTCAATCTTTGACAAATTCTGGAAGGATCTCTCAGGATCCTGAATCTCAAGGATTTTCTTCAAGTTTTGTTCAGGATCTTGCTTCGAATCCTGGAAATTCCTGTCTGCATGATTTCCTAAGGTGAAACAAGGTCCTGTTCAGGATTTCTCCGAGATCCTGCTCAGATATTTTTCAGACTTGAGAATACAGAATCCTATCAAGATTTACTCAGGATCCTTGGTAGGATCTTTTCAAGATTATGGAAAAGGATTCTGTCAAGACTTTTCATGTTTTTGTCAAGATCTGGGTCAAATTTTTGTATTAGAATCCTGTCAGAAATGATAGCCACATCCGTCAAGGATCTTGGCAAGAAAATAACAAGATCAAGCACGATACGAAACTAAGAAATCCTGTGAAACTTTGATCAGGTTCCTGAACGAAACAGTTGTTCAAGAACAGATATTTCGAATGCTTCAAAAAAATATAAGTATGCTCAGGATCTTGATAGAAAAATACAAGGAACCAGTTAGGATCTTTACAGGTTTTTTTTAGAAACTATTCAAAATTCAATTTTCAGGATCCTGTCAGGAACCTAACAAGAATGAATAAAACGGTTTCCAAACGTTTTCAGCTCGGTCAGGGTGGGTTTATTTGGAAATTTGGAAATCTATAAAACATCACAGGATTTCAATGCCAATATTGAGCAAAGTCACAACGGAAATAAATAGAAGGATTTTTTAAGATATTATTGCAGTTTGTTCCGAACACGACAAAATTCTGAGAATTGAATAATGATCTACTGGCATTTTTACCTTAATCTTGATTTGATTCAGTTCATAAAATAGAACGAAGGTTAAAAATCTTAGAAAAAAGTTTTCCAATTCTCTTTGGAGTGTATATAAAAGTTGTTTTGAGATAGAGACTACAAGAATGAGTTCCTTTTTTAATTTTATCAGGAAAAAAATTGAAAATCATTAAATTAAGAGAGTGTTAATTTAGATTTAGTCATCGTAAAAGTTTTTTTCGTCAAATAGATAATTTTAGTCAGCAGCAAGTCTTTCAATTGAAAATACTTATAGCTTTGATTATGTTCGAAAAAAAATTTACAATATATTTTCTAAACCGAACTGAAATAAAAAAACAGTGCAATTTCACCGACTGAAATACATATCTAATAATGGACCCATCTGTCATGTCAGACGATTTTCTTAACTATTTTGATATCATATGATAGCCCTCAACGAGAAACTACCAAATTAAAAATATGAGCTGCTAATGACGAGCCCAGTTCGAGATATTCAAATTTTAAGGTATTGAAAATTTAGATATATAACAACAACAACAGAATTTTTCGAATTCAATTTTTTCGCAGTATTGACTATTTTTTCAAGCTGTGTTGCGCAAATTTCAATATTTTCTGAAGGGTCAGTAATACATAATGAATGAAATAAAATAGCCTTCTTGTAAGAACAGTAACTAGTACATAAGATGTCGTAATTAAATGCATTGATGCTTCAATATTCGATATATCGATACTTTCTCTAATATTGGTTCAGTATTGTTGCAGTCGAATGTGAGTTTATAGAAACATTCTTTCTAATCTTCTGTAAAAACTATTGCTTTGAAAAGATTACATTAATTCGATAAAAGTATGAATCTAGGGAATATCGTAGAACATCTTCTTGATTTAACTAAAGCTGCATTCGGTTTCGAAGCTAAAACAACAACAACAAGTGATGAAATATTTGTTTCACAGCAGTTATTTGAAATACTCAAGGCTTTCAAACACAGCTGTTTCAACGAACTCCATACATATGACTCTCTTGAATTTGACGATGAATATGATGATATGATGGATGAAGAGAGTAGTGATGGATCGGATGATTTTGAAGAAACTCAAGATCCAGATCTTAAAGACTATTTCACTTTGGAAGAAATGAAAAGTATTGTTGAATGGGTTGATCAACATCCAAATCATACAATTGCCACTACATCATGTAGATTTCGAAAAATTAAATCCATGACTTATATCAAAAGATTCAGAGAGTATATTAGTAGAAACGGCTCAATCTTGAAAAACTAAATAAAATCAAGGATTTCATGTTAAACGAATTTTATGTTAAAAGAGCCATTCAAAAAGAAGCAGTTCATGACATTGATCTACAACTTTTTGCACTACAAAAGGCAAGAGTTTTAGGTTGGGATACCTTCAAGGCAAGTGAATCATTCATCACCAGGTTCAAGAAAGAAAATTGAATTTCATCAAGAAAATAAAATAAACTTATTACCTGAGACACATTAAAAAGAAAAATTTGTACTTTAAATGGTATGCATCAATCATATTCAAATTCATTATATTTATCTAAAAATAATATATTTTAGATGCCCGAAATTGGATTGAAAGCAAAAGATCATTAATTTCAATATTTACTACACATGAAATTCTAAACAATGATCATTGTTTGTTTCAACAAGAATATGTTTCACCGAGAATTCTTTCATTTACTGGTGAAAGAACAACAGAAGTAGCTGTTAAAACGAAACACAATATTACTTACTCGTATACAGTTCAACCTATTAGTTCAGCTGCCGGTCACTTGTTAAATAAATTTTTGCTAATTCTTCACGAAAAACAAAATGAATTTGGTACCAGAGTGCAGAAGGATTTAATCGTGTCGCCGAACGTGATTGTACGAGCTTCTACTTCTGGAAAAAGTAACGATGAAAATCATCGTATTTTCTTAAAGGAAGTTCTTGCCCTTGTCGTTAGCACAAAATTTCTTCTTTTTCTTGACCGTTGGAAAACTCAAACTGGTTTAGATAAGTTTAGATTAGTATTTCCTAATAAAAAAAGTCAGTTATTAATTTTTGCCTGAAGGATAAACCGGTTATGTTCAACCACAAGACTTATCCTTATTTCGTTCGTGGAAATTCATTCATAAGAAAATTGAACATTACAATCACATCAATCGAACAGTGATCAATATGAGTGATCGTCAATATTTTATAAATATGCAATCTGTTATTCATAATCAATTATCTGCTCCATCATTCAAAAATCTAATAAAATCAGGATTTATAAATGCTGGAATAATTCACGGAACAATTGAAGAAGTTGACAAAGCAAAGGATATTTATTTCAAATTCTACGATCTCTATTGTTCAATGAATAATTGTGAAAATCGAACACTTCTGAG